CTTGCTGCCCCAGGAGCTGCCCTGCTCTGGTATTGTTCCAGGATCCCAAATCCCAGAAGCTGACTGCTTCCCTGCCCCCAGCTTCCCCAATATTTTTTTCCCCCCATTCTTGTTGCCCTCAGTTAAATTATGGCCCGTTATTCCCATGACCTTGTGCTTCCCCCTGCCTTTGTTCCATGGATTCCTGCTGGCGAGGGCCGGTGCCGATGGATGTGCGGCCGGATCCCCCTCTCCCAGCTTTTGTTGGGAGCAGCTCTGGGCCTGCTGAGCCCCAGCAAGCTGGGGCAGCTCCTCACAAAGGCCCGTGGCTGGGAAAGGGAGTCCCCAGGGTGTCCCCAAAGCTGTTGTGTTGCACACGGGGACAGGAGGAGCAGCCGGGCTGGGCTGAGCGGAGCAGCTCCGCCGGTGGGAGCCTCTCCGTGCCAAAGGAAAAGGGGAAGATGCTGCCAAGACGTCTCAGACTGGCCAGTGGGGATTGTCATCTTCAGAGCTGGAGTTAAGAGCAAGGGAGGATGTTTTTCCCTCTCTTAAAATAATGGGGAAGGAGGTGGAAGAGGGGCTCTGGTCTGGTTGGATGTTGGCTGGCCCAGCCTGGGTGGTTTCCCTGGAAAGTTGGCTCCGTTCTCTGTTTACTCAGGACTTCATGGTCCAAGAAGCTTTCAGAGAAGCCCCAGTGCTGTGGATGGGGAGCGTGAGATAGGTCTGCTCTCTTCCCATTGTGCTGGAGCAGGAGCACAGTGCAGAGCAATTTGGTGCCGTCCCTCAGCCAAAACTGGGACCCTTTGCAGCCCCTTCAGCAAAAACCTTGTGAGCACCTCACTGATTTCCCTCCTCCAGGTGACCCCTGTGCTCAGCTCTCCCCAGCAGTGTCCTTGGTGCAGATTCCCTGTCAAGAGTGGGATAAAGCCCCTCTGTCTTTGGGGAAGCCTAGGGATAGGTTTTCTAATCTCCCCAGACTTAGGCTCCCAAGTCCTCTCCTGAAAGCTGATCAGGAGGCTTGGGGTTCTTAGATGTGTTGGTGAGGATGACTCTTAAGCCAGGCAGCTCTGCTGAGTGCGGGGAGGCTGAGGATTAGAGCAGGGCAGGAGACAAAATAACCCCCCAGGCTGCCTGCCACACCAGCTGCTTCATGGGGCCGTGCCCACCTCCTTTCTCCTGCTGCTGCAGAGCCCGGGGTGAGCCCTGAGCAGGGACACAGGTGCTGTCCTGCTCCAGCTGCTGCCCAGCCCTGTCTCCATGCCCCGCTGCAGGAGTGCAGCAGGTGAGTGCTGGACCTCCCATGAAAGAGGGGAGAACAAAAGTCCACTCTGGTTTCTGCAGCTTTGGGGGAAATGTTCGACTTTGTCTCCAAATCCTCCCTCTGGGTCCCTCCTTGTGCTGCCTTGCCAGGCCAGCGGGAGCCTGGGACGTGATGTGGGATCTGGGGACCTGTGTGGGAGGCCTGGCTCAGGGATCTGGGCTCAGGGGTTCTGGGCTCAGGGGTTCTGGGCTCAGGGATCTGGGCTCAGGGGTTCTGGGCTCAGGGGTTCTGGGCTCAGGGGTTCTGGGCTCAGGGATCTGGGCTCAGGGGTTCTGGGCTCAGGGATCTGGGCTCAGGGGTTCTGTGCTCAGGGGTCTAGGCTCAGGGGTTCTGTTCTCAGGGGTTCTGTGCTCAGGGGTTCTGTGCTCAGGGGTTCTGTTCTCGGGGGTCTGGGCTCAGGGGTTCTGTTCTCAGGGGTCTGGGCTCAGGTGTTATGGGCTCAGGGGTTTGGGCTCAGGGGTTCTGGGCTCAGGGATCTGGGCTCAGGGGTTCTGTTCTCAGGGGTTCTGGGCTCAGGGGTTTGGGCTCAGGGATTCTGGGCTCAGGGCTGTGCTGCTCTGTGGCAGTGGGTGCTCAGTTCTCCTGGGGCTTCCCCCAGCCCCCCTTCCCGGTGTTACTGCCTGGCCTGGCTTCATAACTCCACAGTTCTACTGATAATGTCTTTCATTTTCAGCTGTAATATTAAAACCTGCCCCGATTTGGCTTACTTTCAGCTGCAGCGCTTTGTGAGAAGGCAGGGGAGAGGAGACAAAAGCAGGGATTTGGGGAACAAAACCCCAGCCGTCCCTCCCCATCCTTTCAGGTGGATGTTGCCTGCTGCAGGTGCAGGGGCTGAGCAAAATATGTCTTGGGGCTTCGTGGTCGATGAGCAGCAAGGCACTAAATGCACAGCCTGTCTCTGGGAGGGTGGTGAGACATCCAGGAGCTGCTCTGCCAGCTCATTTGCAAAACAGATTCGGTTTTGCTGCTGCTGCTGCTGCAAAGTCGGGGGGAGATGGCCGGTGGCCGCTCCCACCTCGGTGCCCGGGCTCTTTGTGCCAGGGCTCTGGGTGGGTGCCAGCTGGAGATGCAGGGCTGGACTGGGGGTGCAGGGGCCCGTGGAAGGGCTGGGCAGGTGGAGGTGGGGTGACAGCTGTGCACAGGGCTGAGCTGGTGAGGAGGAGAGGATGGGTGCAGGAGCACCAACGCCTCGCTGTGAGGTTGTTCCCTGGGAGTTAATTGAGTAATTAAAGCAAGTGGGACCTGCCAGGTCTCTGCTTTGCAGCTCAGGAAGCAAAGATGGGGTTTGACTTTTTAAAACACTGAGGTGGGACTCAGAAAATTGGAGTTCAGTCCTGAATTCTGCTCCTGGCTCCGTACCTTTGGGCTTGGTTGTGATGATCTTTATGCTGTTCTTTATTCACTGTCTCTCTTGTTGAGTTATTCCCCACACTTCTGGGGCCAGAGGCGGCTTTGCCTTAACTGGAGAACTGAGTAAAAAGAGGGAATGTTTCATTCTGAGATGGCACAGAGAAGCTGCCAGGGGCAGCCCAAATCCAGCCTCGGCACGTGGGGTTGGAGGTGAACCCCAGGAGGGTCCCCTGGGGATAAATGTGGGGTCTCTCCAAACATGGGAGGGAATGTGGACTGCAGGACCCCTGTGTGTCAGGTGTCACACCTGGCTGCTCCCCTGTGGCCTTCGGGGGCTGCTGGGGCACAGGTCGGAGGGAGATGGTGTCAGTTCGGAGTTCCTGCGTGGTGCTGGCCTCGCCCTGCCCCGCTGCAGCCGGCTGGGAGGGAGATGGGGCTGCTGACGTGTGTGGGAATGGCTGGGAAGAGCTGGGAATAGCAGGGCCCGGAGCGAGTGTCTGCCGGCAGATGGGCCCGGGGGTGGGAGAGGAACAGCGGGAGGGAAGCAGGGATGGGGGGAACGAGGTGCCTTGGCAGAGCTGTGAAACCAAGGAATCTTCACTGCTCACATTCCAACTGCTGTCACATGGAGCCCGTGCTTCTGTCACCAGCTCTTTTCCATGGAGACTCCTCTGCCTCCTGCCCGGGCTGGGAGGGGCGAGCGGAGCGGTGGGACTCGAGTTGTTCCAAAGCCACAAATCCTGGCTGAGAACAGTCCCGAGGAGGAGCAGGATATATGATCTTGGCCTCCAGCACTGAGGGCTTGCGGGATCAGGGTAACGCTTCCAGGAAAAGCAGCGTGAAGGAGGGAGCATTCCAGAGGGAGGGAGCCGGGGGCTCTGGCTGTGCTCCCTGGCCAGGTACCTCCGAGCTTGGGCAGCTGGGGGTGCCTGTGCAGGAGTTACGTAAGGGGGAAACTGAGGCAGGAGGAGCGAGACAATTCCGACTGTGTGGGCCGGCTGACCCAGGAGCTGGGATGTGAAGTGCTGAGAGAGCTCCAGTGCTGCTGCCCTTCCCTGGCTCTGCCCAATTCCCTGTGTTCCAGTGCCTTGGCTTTGGCTTCTGCACGGTCACAAGCCTCTGCATCGTCCCCCAGTGCCAGTTTTGTTGAGGGATTTGGTGACAGGGTCGTGACAAGCTGACTTTGGAGGCAGCCTGTGCTCTTTAAAGCCTTGAAATGCCACTTGGAGCTTGGCAGAGCTCCTCGGGCAGAGGCACCTGCTGGGGCTGCTCTGCTCAGCCCCGCGCTCTGATCCCCTGATAAATCCCTGCCACGGCAGCAACCTGGGCTGCTCAGCTGCATTCCAAGTGACAGGGAGTGATCCTGAGCACAGGGGACAGTTGCTTGGCTGGAAATGTCCCCTGGAACAGTGATAATGTTGTTGTTGTTATAAATAGGACCGAGGGGCTTTGTAACCTTCCTTAACCCCCACGTTCCGGGCAGATTGCAGCAGTGTTTGGGCTCACAGGCAGATCCAATCCATTCTCACTCAAATGTGCTGCCTGTTTGTGAGGTGGTTTTTTTTAAATTTTTTTTCCCTTCTTTTAAGATGCTGCATCTTTAACAAGCCCTTGATAGATGAGAATTTGATGCTTGCAGTGACAAACAGGCTCTTCCTTCCTGCCCATATGCACCATCATGCTTTCAGTTTCCCCAGCGTTATTAGGGGAGGATATTGATTCGAAATCTGCTCGGGGACGCTGTAATTGTGTATTAGAGATTTGGTGCTGGTTCGGAGGGCTGCAGTAATGCAAAAGGCTTGAGTGTTTCCGTGCAATCCAGAGGGGGAAGATTGCTGAGGACCTTGAGGTTTTGAAGGAGGAGGGGGAAGGGAGGGGGAGAGACTGAGAGAGAGAGACAGAGAGAGAGAGAGACAGAGATACTTTTTTTTTTTTTTTTTTTTTTTTTCTGTGTTGTTTTTTTCCAACCCTTCCTCTCCCCCAGTTGCTTTGCATCAGGGCATGAAAGGAGTGGAAACACCGGGGGGACAAAAGGCACCAGAGCAAATGATGAAACTCAGTAAGGAAATCAACTGGATTCAGAATTTATGGCTGGAAAACGTTGCATTGATCAGTGTATGAATAGTCATTATGTGCTTTTGGGCTGCGTGATTAGGAAAGCAGATCAAGGCTCTCAAGATGATGATTTTTCTTACTTTCATTTTTTTCTTTCTCTGCTTGTAATATCAGTGTGTGTGTGTGTGTGCGCGTGTGAGAGAGAGCAGCAAAATACCAAAAGTCTCTCTGGTCGCCCCTGCAAAGAGGAAAGTGCAGCTTTCTCTGACACTCAGCTTTCTCATCTCTCTCCCAGATGAAATTTTAGGCAAGAGAAGAGTATGTTCTCCCAACAGCAGCAGTGAGTGTCCTTTAGAGAGCAAGAAAGCCCGAAGTGAGTCCCCAAAGGGTAAGTGCTGCTTCTCCCTCCCCCATCCCCTTCCCCTTTCTTCTCCTTTCCCGTGAGTGGAACTTAATTGAAATTAAGGAGGGAGGGCTGTGGGGTGGGAGCTGTGTCTGGCACTGGGGGTGCAGGAGGAGGCGACCAGGGCTCTGTTTTTCCTTTATCTCCTCGGAGGGAGCCTCGCAGGGCGAGAGAGGGATTGCCTCTTAATTACAGTAATTGCTTGATGATTAAAAGAAAGCAGGCTGCAGCCTTCGAGGTGGATTTTCGGGGTGTTCCTACTTTTTCAAGCAGAATGTCTTGATTACATGTTTAATGTGAAAGGTACACACGGGCTTATCGTGCTGGCATCTGCTCCTTTAAAGGGAAGAAAGGAGCCTGTCAGGGAGAATGAGGCTGCTGAGTTTTCTCTTATGCATTTATGGCACCGTTCCTATAGAGATGGAATCTGCAGAAGGTTTCTCTATTTAGGGTTTGGTTTGTTGGGGGTTTTTTTGGTGTTTTTTTGTTTTTTTTTTAATCTCTTGATTTGCCTTCCAGTTCTTTCCTATAAACACGATTTTTAAACTTTCTTTACGACTGGCAAAGTGGGATGGGTAATGGAGCCTGCAGTTAATGAGTTTGTCTCCAGGTTGAGTAAATGAGGTTTTGCAGGCCGTTTACTTAAAGGCTTTGTTGTTAATATCAGACTAATTAGCTGTCAGTGATACCCACCTCCATCCCTGTGCCTAAACCTGTGCTCTCTGGCCACTGAAAACCCAAAGCAGAGCAGCTGAGTGAGGCTGGATCCTGCTCCATGGGTTTGGAGTCCAGCTGAGACTCTTCCAGGGCTGGATTCCCAGTCACCCATCCAGGGAATCTCAAAGGGCACTTCCTGCAGCAGTTTGTCCTGGAGCCTTCTTAAACCACATACTTTATATTCTGCTTTATAAAGATCCATTGTGGGGACCTGTCCTGCATCCTGGTTTCACAGAATGCTCCTGTTTCTTCCCTCCTTGTGCCCAAATGATGATCTGAAGGAGAATTCTCTGAATGTTGGTGTCACTTCATAGAAAATACTAAATCCTCTCTTTTATGTAACCCTCTCCTGCCTGTTAACTCTTTCATAACAGCAGAAATGTCTCAGATTTTACTGGGAACCCTTTAAACTGCTCCTCTTTATGTTTTCCTTGATTTTTTTTCCATCTGCTCTATTCCTGTTACCCCTGCCATGTTTCTGGCTGTGCAGGTGAGCTCCAGGTGATGCTTCCACAGGTTCAAAACCAGATTTGTTCCATTGGACTTGAGGCTCTTGGGGCACATTTTATATTTTGTATATTTTTTATATTTGTATTTTGTTGTCCCTGCTGAGGTTGTGCCCCTTGTAATTCCAAGTTTGTGCTTGGGAATCCAGGGAGCAGAACCTGGCCTGGCTGGGAATGGGCTGAGCTTTAACCAGGTGAAAGCAGGGGATTGCCTTTGGGTTCATCCTGAGCTGGCACAGGTGGATGCTTTTGGCATGGGAGCATTGGGGTCAAGTGATCTCATTCTGTTCCTTTCCTTTGGCCCTCCCACCTTTTTTGTGGGCTGAGGGCAGGGTGAGGAGCCCTTGGCTTTGCACTCAGCATCTGAATGCTGCTCCTTGGCTCCTGCAGTTTCAGGGATTCCCTCAACTTTTTAACAGAAGGGTTCCCAGGAAGCCCTGAATAAAGCAAAGCTTTGTTTTCTACTCCCACTTTGAGGTGAGACAGAATGGAAATTCAGAGCTGGGGCTTTTGCTGATGTCCCACTGTTTTTCATTAAATCCTTGGGGAGCCCCTGTTCCCTCCAGAGCCATGCAGGAGTTTTATCCCAGGCTGTGCTGATGCTGGAATTCCACTGCAATAGTGAGGGGCTGAGGTTTCTGTGCTTTGGGGCTGTTTTCTGGTGAAAAGGGGGTGACAGAGGGGCTACCCCCAAGGTTTGTGCTGTAGCCCCCAGCAGTGACAGAGCTGAGTGCTCCCATCCTGCTGTGATTCCAGCAGCATCCCTGTGCCATGGATGCCATGGGGAAAACACAATCCCTGAAGGATTGTAATGCCAACACAACAATCCCAGAAGGATCCACCTTGTGTGGCAAACCATTCCCAAATGGGATGGGCCCTGGTGGGTACTGACCTGGGATTTGGGAACTGCTGCTCCAGAGTGCACTTTGGGGTTTGGGAGTGGGAAGGGAAGCAAGGACTGGCTGGAATTTGGGATCCCATCAGCCCCAGTGTCCTGCTGGAGGAGCCAGGGCTGCAGCATCTCCTGGGACCCTTCCCCTGCAGCCTGGTGGTCCCGTGCCTCGAGTAGGTGCTGCTCCTGCACCTCCTGCATCCCTGGGCTGGTGACAGGCTCCAGGCAGGATCTGCCCCTCTGCATCCCAGAGATCCCAGGCAGGATCTGCCCCTCTGCATCCCAGAGATCCCAGGCAGGATCTGCCCCTCTGCATCGCAGAGATCCCAGGCAGGATCTGCCCCTCTGCATCGCAGAGATCCCAGGCAGGATCTGCCCCTCTCCATCCCACAGTGGCCCTGGGAGCAGCTCTGGCTTGGGCACATCTGGTCTGGCTCTGGGAGAGCCTTTGGAAGAGGAGCCTTTGGAAGAGGAGCAGTGACCCTGTGGCTCCTCTCACACTAACGGGGTGAGGGGAGCAGAAGCAGCCAAGGAAATCACTGCCACTCCCTGGCTGAACGAAAAAACACCTGTAGGGGCTGGAAAGCCTTCCAGAGGGCTGGAAACCTTTCCAGAGGGCTGGAAAGCCTTCCAGAGGGAAGCAGCCTCCTTCCCCTCCCTGCCCCCTCCCCAGAGCTCGCTCTGGAGCTCAGGAGCCCTGTCTCGAGGAAGCGGGGCTGCGCCGCCGCTGTCAAACGGAGCAGAACGTTCCTGGGGAGATGGGAGCGTCTCGGAGCTCTGCGCTGGCAGGGCACGGGGGAGATGATTCCCCAGGGAAAACCTGGCTCCTGCGTGGCTGGGGAGCTCCTTCCCCACTGCCTGGAGATGTGGAATGCGGCTGAAGGATGGGAAAATCGGGAAGAGCGTTTCGGTTCCCGTTTGAGCAGCTGAAGAATCCGTCTGGTAGGAGCCTCGGGGAGGTTGGAAAGCAGGCTGGATGGAGTGCTGGAAAACACACGTAGGGAACAGTGCTGGGCTCACCCCCTGGCGTGGGGATGAGCTCACAGGCTGCTCCTGCTGCCATCCTCCTTTCTGGGCTCCTGTGCACCATTTAAACCAATCCAAAATCTCTGGTTAGTGGAGGAGCGCAGGACTGGAGCTGAGCTGCAGCTGGGCAGTTCAGATCCAGCCTCTGTCTGTTTGTCCCTCTCCTTTGGGGGGCACCTCCGTGTGCTGGGGGCTGTGGCAGCTGTGCAGTTAGGCCAAGGGAAGAGAGCAGGTTTTGGCCCTGTTGGCATTACTGACCCCAAAGCCAGGCTGCTGAGTGGGGGCAGTGGGCACGGGCAAGGAAAACCCCTAAAGCCCTGCCCATGTCTGGGCTCTGGGGTGAGGTGGGCTTGCTGCAGGTCCTTGAGCTCAGCTTGGGCTTGGATGAAGGGAACTTTGGGTTCCTGTTGTGGGTTTGTTGTAGGACAGGAGGGGAGGATGGATGGGCTGGATGCTCCTGTCTAGTCTGGGATTGCCTGGGGAGGGTGAGCCTGAGAAAATGTGGTGGGGAGGCCGTGCAGCACTGAAATATCCCTGGGGCTGTGCAGGAGCTGAGTGCCCAAGAGCTCCCAGGGCTGTGCCAGCAGGACCTGGCAGAGCTGGGCTGGGCTGCTCAGGGGGATGTGCTGGGTCTGCAGAGGGCCCAGCAGATGCCTGGCTTGGCTCTGCCTCCCCAGGGCTGTGCCAGAGTCCATTTCACACCTGGCGGCTGCAGGAGATTTGGCGAGATCAGTCTCCCGCATTACCCCTGGTAATGACAAAAGCAGACAGCAAAGCTCCAGCAAAGCTGGAATTACTGCTGGCTGAGTCATGTGAAATCTTCCAAGTTTTAAGCATGGAAATCCAGCCTTTCCCTGGATTCCTCCTTCCTCTTAGCCTCCCCTCGCCACCCCCATTCTCCCTCCCCTCCCTGCACCTGAAATCTGCTCTGCGGCTGATCCGATAGAGTTTATGGTAATTAAGTGTTATTAAATCCCCTCCCCCCTCCCTTTTTTGCTCTAATGACACAGCTGGGGGGGGGTGGGGGGAAATGGGTGTTTTTCTAAATCAGGTCTGTGGCTTTGCTCCTTAGACCTTTGGGTAAGAGCATCAGGAGGGAACTGAAACCGTGAGCTCCTGCATCCCTGGGGGAGGTGGCAGGAGCGGAGGAGGAGGAGGGAATCCTCCCTGGGGGGAAGGAGACCTGGAAGGGAATTCTGCCCTCTCCTCCCTCCCCTGCTGCTTCCATGGCTGTCCTGCAGGTGTGGGGTGGGATGGAGGGAGCAGCCCCTGCCTTTGGGGTCTGGATTTTGGGGGTTGGGGGGCCCAGGGCAGCGTGGGGACCCAGCTCCTGATCCCAGCAAGGCTGGGAGCAGCCTCTGGGCCTGGGATGTGGCCAGGGAGGCAGCAGGGTGCAGATGTGTGTCACTGGGGCACGAGCTGAGGCTGCAGGGACAGCCTGAGTGCGGTGCTGAGGGAGAGCCCTCGTTGTGCTGGAGGCCTGAGCTGAGCTGGAATCATTTCCCTTCTGCTCTTGGGAGCCAGGGATGCAGCCCTTTGGTGTTGAAATATTGTGCAGCTAAGACTTTATTATTACTACTGTTATTATTATCATTGTTATTATTGTTGTTATTACCATAATCTTCGTTATTATTATCATTATCATTATTATTATCATTATGCATTATTCATTGTTATTTATTTTTATAATATATTCTTGTTATATTTGTTTATTATTGGGATGATGAGAGGATGATGATGAGAGGAGGATAATCATGAGGAGGAGGAGGAGGATGAGATGATGAGGGTGATGGTGATGATGGTGATGATGGTGTTTCCCTCCTGTATTTTGGGGAGGGGGTGGCTTCACTACAACCTGTGAAAGTTGCATCCCCCAAAGCCCCCGTGGGCTGGGCTGTGCCATGGTTTGGTGTCAGACAAAGGCAGCAGCAGTCCCTGGGCTGCCTCATTTCCCAGCCCTCTGTGTCTGGGGCCGTTCCTGGCTGCCCCATGCTCACCTTTACCTGTGAGAGCCCTGCTCTCACTGTGGCACAGAGCCACAGCCGCTCCCAGCAGCGCCCAGTGTGGGTGACAGGTGCCACCCCCGTGGCTTTGGGGCCATGCAGCACCTGCCCTGCTCCCCGAGGGGCTCAGGAGGAGGCTGCAGGAGCAGCAGGAGCCTGGGGCACACCCGGGAGGTGTGTGTCCCCTCCCTGAGCGCTGGTGGTCCTGTGGCTGCCGGTCCTGCCGCCCCCTTCCCCTCTGCCTGCCCGGGCTGTGCCTGGGAGTTCCTCTCTGAGTAATGAAAAGGCTTTGCCTGTGGGAAAGATCCGAGATAAAACAGTGTTGGAGCAGCCAAGGCAGAGAGCAGTAATTACTGAGAGCTGTGCTTACAGTAAACACCAAACCCCTGCGGTTTTCCCTGCCTGACTGCCAGCCTGGGATCCCTCCTGCCCCCGGAGCCCCTCGCTCCTGGGAGCTGCAGGCATTCCGGGAACCTGGACAGGGAGGGGTGCTTTGGGTGGCCTCAGGGTAAGAGCTCCAGCCTCTCGGGCACGGGTACAGATGGAAACAACCTGCTCTGAGGTGTCCCTCGGGGGGCTGGGCAGTTGGATGTCAGCTCTGTCCCTTGGGTGCTCGAGCACCTCTCTCTTCCTGGTGTCCTCTGAGTGCTCAGGAGGGGGTGGGAAAGAGGTGCCCGTCTGGTCAGGTGTGAGCTCAACAAAGAACTCACATCCTCCAGAGATGCAGGGCTGAGAATTCAGCGAACTCTCCCATCCTCCCTCTCCCCTTTGAGGGAACAGAGCTTGCTGGTGATTTTTTGCTGTTACAATGCAGAGCTTGGTGCTTTAGGAGGAAAGGAAAAACAACTTGGCGAGGTTTCTTGGGTGCTGTGGACTTTTCCTGTATGTAAATTTGGAGATTTAGTAGGTTGCAGGGGGTCTTGACCACATTTGGTGGAGGAGAAGGCCAGCTGATGTGACAGCTTGGTGCATCAGACCCAGTGGGCACAGCAGAGAGCTGTGGGAATTGGTGCTAACATCCCTTTACCCCCTTTCCTCTCTCTTTTTGCTCTGTCCCTGCATTTATGTGACTCCCCACTGTATTCCTGTCTGAGGAAAAGCCCAAAAGAGCAGATGTGTGTGCTCCACAGAAAACTCGCACACGCCGGTGCTGGAGGAGGCGGTGGCGCAGATGACCCCGGAGGAGCACTACAGGCGCATGATGTCGGCCCTGAACGAGCACGGCGCCTTCGAGGAGCAGCAGCAGCAGCGCCTGTACCAGCTGGCCAACAGCATGGCAGTGCCCAGCCACGGAGGTAGGGCTGGCCACGGGCACAGCGGCTCTGCTGCCTCGGGCCGTCAGCTGGGGAACTGCCCCGAGCCCTGGACTGTTCTGGGATGGGGCTGGGGGATGTTCCTGAGCCCTGGACTGTTCTGGGATGGGGCTGGGGGATGTTCCTGAGCCCTGGGCTGGGTCTGGGGGATGTCCCCAAGCCCTGGGCTGGGTCTGGGGGATGTCCCCAAGCCCTGGGCTGGGTCTGGGGATGGCCCCAAGCCCTCTGTGCATAGAGGGGTGGGGGGGCTGCAGTGCTGGGTGTTTGTTGTGCCCTGGATACGCGTGATGCTGAAGGGGGTCCTGCAGAGCCCTTCTCCATCTTTGTGGAGGAATCTCCCCTTGGGTGACTGTAAATCTGATTTCTTCTGTAGCTATCCAAGGGGATGGGCTTTTCCTGGCTGGAATGGATCAGCAGCAGCCATGCTGTGTTGTGCAGGGGGCACGAGGGGGGTCCTTCTCTTGTTCCAAGTGTTTGTGTCCATCTGAAAATTTGGAATGTCTGGAGTAGAAGATTTGGGTTTGGTGTGGAGCCAAGGGGGTGAGATGTTGGCAGTGCCAGACAGCCCTGGCGTGTTGGGATGGGAACGGTGAGATGATATTGCTGCCTTCTCCTGGGACTGGAGCGGGGTCTGGAGGTCCTGCAGGCCCAGGATGTGGCAAGTGCCACACGGACTGAGGGCTGGAAGGTTATTCCGGGGTTTTGGAGGGAGCTGGCTGGATCTGGCACGTCCTGGGCTGGGCCTAAAGGGGGCACCAGGAGGTTGCAGGATCACGAACATCCCTGTGCAGGTGGAGCATCCCTCCCCACAGGTGGAGCATCCCTGTGCAGGTGGAGCATCCCTGTGCAGGTGGAGCATCCCTGAGCAGGTAGAGCATCCGTGTGCAGGTGGAGCATCCCTGAGCAGGTAGAGCATCCCTGAGCAGGTGGAGCATCCCTGAGCAGGTGGAGCATCCCTGAGCAGGTGGAGCATCCCTGTGCAGGTAGAGCATCCCTGAGCAGGTGGAGCATCCCTGAGCAGGTGGAGCATCCCTGAGCAGGTAGAGCATCCGTGTGCAGGTAGAGCATCCGTGTGCAGGTAGAGCATTCCTGTGCAGGTGGAGCATTCCTGTGCAGGTAGAATATCCCTCCACAGGTACAGCATCCATGTGCAGGTAGAGCATTCCTCCATCCCTCTCTCTGCAGGTACCTGCTCATCACCTGCCCTTGGTGAGCAGACCCTGCTGGCACTGGCCCAGCTGGCCCCAAGCAAAGCCGTGCCCTGTCTGATGTCCCTTTTCCCGCCAGGGATGGAGATAACTCAGCTGGGTCAGGCGAAGCCAGGGACATGGCAGAGGTGATGCTGTTCCAGAGGGCAGAGCCAGGCAAGGATCTGTCCCTGTGCTGCTCCCTGCCCGGGCTGTGCCGGGCTGGCACGTCCCTGCCTGGCTGAGGAGCCCTGGCAGCCTCCGAGCATCCGCAAGAGCTGCAGGAGGATCTCTGGTCTCCGGTGTGAATCCCCAGGGCTCCTTGTTAGGTTAATGAAGAGGCTGTCTTCTTTTCCACTCTGTTTGATTTGATTGGCTTCTCTGGGGGCAGGAAGGCGATTGCTGTGGAGGAAGGATTTGCTTATCAGCAAAGGCCCGGCACAAAGCTGCCCCGGCCCGTGGGGAGCAGGGCTGGGGCTGGGCTGTGCCAGGCACTGCAGAGCCCCTGGCTGAGGCTGAGGGGCAGAGCCGTGAGCCACAGGGCTGGGGTGGCACATGGATGTGTGGGGACACACACAGGGGAGGGACAGCGTGTGACACAGGGCTGGGATGGCACATGGACATGTGGGGACACACAGAGGAGGGACAGCATGTGCCATAGGGCTGGGATGGCACATGGACATGTGGGGACACACACAGAGAAGGGACGCCGTGTGACACAGGGGTGGCACTGGAAGGTGCTGAATGCTCAGCCCTAGCTGGAGCACAGCACAGAGCGTGGGGTGTCACCAGGGCTGTGACAGACGCTGGCTGCAGGGCACAGGGACGTGTCCATCCCCCAGGGTGTGCTGGGGGACAGCTGTGTCACCCCCTTCCCCCAAAATGAGCAGAGCAGCTCATTACCTTGAGAGCCTGACGTGTTTTTATGGTGATGATGAAATTGTCTCACCAGCGTTTGTTGGGGGGGTCACGCTGGGGTT